TATGAAAGGTTGTCGTATCGGTCTTATAAAAGTATCTGTATTTTACGAGGGAAAAAGGGGTGTGATACTGTAATCACATCACTCTATACAAATTATAAATCATTTTTATTTACAATTTTCCAGGACAACATGAAAAATTGCAGAATTATACAAGAAATATAAATATATACCTGTACATATGATTTCCGAGGATAAAATTGAGTACTTGCGTAGTCGTCGCATTGAAGACGGCTGGAATCGCTAGGAGGCAAAGTAAGAATTTCTGGTATTTCCCATAACTACCAGCACGTTGTAGAGCCTCGTCGTATTCCATTGCGCAAGAAAATCTGTACAATACAATTTTAGGCTTGTGAATAGTCATACTAACAAGAGATTGCTTTTATTTTTTTCAGTATATTTGCTCACTAAATGAATTCATAATTATAAACGCCGATTTGAAACATTCAAGTGAGGGACATACTTTAAATCAAGGTTAACCTTGTATACATCTTAGAATGTAGACTACTTACCTGTAAAAATAAGGGAAACTAAAATCCGCAAGATCGTAATATTATCTTAAAGTATCAATTATGGTGAATATATTCTGAGAATTATTGATAGTGATATTTCTGGCTTGGTGAGTGAGCATTTACGAAACCGAATTAATTGCAATAAATTGCACTGATGAAAAAGCCATACCTTTAAAACAATCGAATTGAATCGAAATAACTTTAGCCTCCGCTGATCAATAACGTAAACTCTTATCATTAAGGTTATCTTTGGATAGATTTGTCAAATATTCGTATACACGAGAACTGTAAACATGAACACACTATTCTGAAAGTTTTGAAAACTCTATCTGCAATTCAATGTTAAATCAGGATATCCACTATTGCGACACTCTTTAAAAGCATATCATTTTGTCATATTTCTCTTCAGAACTAACAGTGAAACTTTGTAATTGGTCGATTTTTTTTCAGACCAAAAATGTATGTTTTGGGGTTTTTTTTTAGCTATTAATTAGAGTACCATACTTTTGAGTAGCATCCTCCATAGATAGAGCTTGCAAAGGTTTCTTAAAAGATACCGTTTTATTCAGGTCATAAGTTTAATTGATAATTAGCAAAAATTGAAAAATATTTTAAATAGAGTCCTTCATATTGGAAATCAAATGCATAATTTAAATAATAACAATAAAGATTTTATTGTTTCTTAAAACTTGTCTGGTCTTTTGAAATAGTTGAGATAAAAGAAGATACACAAATAAAGATAAATACAATGTAAAGACTTCTCCGAGTCTAACCAAGATACAGCTGACAACAAGGGAAATCAGAGAAGTCTACTAAAGGAAAATGAAAGCCGTTTCATGTAGCAAAAATCTATAGGAATATGGGATCTACTATTAAATTCTAACTACCAGTTCGTTCAAATTTAAAGAATAATATTCAAAAAATTTAAATTATGAATTTGCTGGATTTTCATGTTTGTTAAATAACTATGTCTATTAATTAAAATGCTAATCATTTCTTCAAATTGCTGTTTACCACTATTTTGACAAATCTTTCTTTTTGTTCATCAGATATTCATTGAAATGGTCAGTTTTATTTAAAAATATGCATTTTGAATCAAAATATTGCAATGTTGATAAATATTTGGACTGATCATTTCCCCTCCAGATGACAGAAAAGACATATAGAAAAAAATATCAATTTGCATGTACTTTTATTTAAGGGGAATAATGAATGGTTGCCTTAAAAAATTGTCGGAGAATCACTGGGGAAAATAGAATTACAAAAGATACATGATTTGTTATTAGTTTTTATTAGCTTTGAACTAGCTGTCAGTAACGGAGAGTACTTTCGGGTTTGTACTTCGTGTCCTTTTTGTTGTGGGGGTGTAAGAATACCCTGCAGCGTCCCGTCTATGTTTTTATTTTATTTTTTCTGCTTTGCATCGATCTCATGAGTTAAGCTCTTTTTTAACTGAATTTAAAGTTTGTTCATATGTTGTGCTGTTACACAACAGTCCCAGGTTAACGGGAGGGTTGGGCGTCAGCAAACATATTTAAACCCGCCACATTCTGTATGTACCTGTCCTATGTCAGGAGCCTGCAATTCAGTGATTGTCCTTTGATGCTGTATATCATGTTCGTTTTTCGTTCATTGCTTTGTACATAAATCAGGCCTTTAGTTTCCTCAATTGAATTGTTTTACATTTGTCATTTCGGGGCTTTTGTTATAGCTGACTATGCGGTATGGGTTTTGCTAATTGTGGAAGGCAGTACGGTTACCTTTATTTGTTAACTTCTATGTCATTTGATCTCTGGTGGAGAATTGTATCATTGGCAATCATACCACATATTCTTATTTTTATATTATGATCTTGCTTCCTTAAGTGGCGAGCAAATATTCAAAAACATGCTTCGTGGTCACTTAATAGAATGATACTTAAAACTAATACTGTCTGTACGCATTTAGAACCAGGGTTTCCCCATGGTCAATTTTCTTTTTCGCCACCTCTTTCGCCAAAACAATATTTTTTTCGCAACCTTTAATTTTTTTTCGCCAACTATTACATAAACATTCGTTTAAAATTTTCCTTCTTTCTAACAAAAACAAATTCAGTTTGCTGCATTATTGTCTATAATTCTACATATCTATATTTAATCTGCATTGTTATAAATAAACACTTATTTTTAACAAACATTTACCTTTTAAAAGATACTGTAAAATTTCAATATAGATCATGAAATCATTTTTTTTTTTTTTACTTCTGGGAACATGGGATTTTTCTTCAATATTATAAGTTTATCGAATACTTCCCAAATATTTGAAGGATAAAGACTAGAGTCAGAGATTTTTCTTACTTTTAAGTATTTTTCTTCATAACAACAGTTTTCTTTTACGGGCCATCGTTAAAAGAAACAGTTGACAATTAAAACTTTTTTTCCGGGCCATCGTTAAAAGAAACAGTTGACAATTAAAACTATGCTTCAAACACGCGAGTCTTCAAAACGATTTCTATCAAAGTTGTAAACAAAATCCTTTAGGTGACATGTGAAGCCATTTAATCACACCATTTCTTTAAACAATACAATCAACATCTTTATTAATTAGTCTGTTGCTAACGATAGCTATAAAATGCAATCAGCTGATTATTGATTTTCTTTTTCTATCAAAATCGTAACGAGTTCAAGGTGAATTCCAAGTATTGTCTGATTTGGGAAAAAGTCCGAGAAACCCGAAAAAAGTAAACAAGTACGGTGACCTATAGTTGTTAATTTCTGTGTCATTTGGTCTCTTGTGAAGAGTTGTCTCATTGGCAATCATACCACATCTTCTTTTTAAGACGAAATAGAAACGTTATATGTCTTTCGCCAAATTCTTTCGCCAATGATGAATTTAAATCGCCACATTTTTTATTTTTTCGCAAAATGCGAAAATGGCGACCGCCAGCGGAAACCCTGCTAAATTAGAACTATCACACTGTGTTTATATTATTCCCTTAAATAAACATGCAGTTATGATAACTATTAGTCATATGATAATACATGACAATAACTAGTGTTATTATTATCATCCCTATATGTCTCATCAACTTTACCTAAATGTGATTAAAACAGGATTAGGTTAAATTATGTAACAATCATATAGCTTAAAATTGGCAAAAACATTTTAGATGCAAGTTTATAATCAGAGTTATTATTTCCGAAATCATATAACTTAAAAAATATTAAGGGATAATGTTTAACTTATTTATATTTATATCTAAGAAATAGAAAGTTTCTTCGAGTTTAATATCTTTGGTGTGTTTTGTATGTACATGGATACATTGCAGTTTTCTTTCTTTGACATATTGGTTGTGTTGCGGCTAGTTATCTTTCCACTATTCCACAGGTCGTCTAATGCAAAAGAGAGACGGAAGATACCGAAGAATTATTTAAGTCGATGACAAACTGGCAGATTTCCTTTTGTGGTTTTCGTCGAATATTTAACTACGCTTCATTCAAACAGTCTGATCTTTTATCTGAAATTTGCGAAACAAAATTGCATAGGAGTCAAAAGCAAAAATCACAAATGTTCCTCCAATTACGAGTACATTAGACCAATTACGATTAAAATAGACCAAATACGAGTACATTAGACCAAATACGATTACACTAGACCAAATTCGAGTACATTAGACCAAATACGATTACACTAGACCAAATACGAGTACATTAGACCAAATACGATTACACTAGACCAAATACGAGTACATTAGACCAAATACGATTACACTAGACCAAATACGTGTACATTAGACCAAATACGATTACACTAGACCAAATACGGTTACACTAGACCAAATACGATTACATTAGACTAATTACGATTACACAGGACAAATACGTGTACATTAGACCAAATACGATTACACTAGACCAAATACGATTACACTAGACCAAATACGTGTACATTAGACCAAATACGATTACACTAGACCAAATACGATTACACTAGACTAAATACGATTACACTAGACCAAATACGTGTACATTAGACCAAATACGATTACACTAGACCAAATACGTGTACATTAGACCAAATACGATTACACTAGACCAAATACGATTACACTAGACTAAATACGATTACACTAGACCAAATACAAACAATAACTTCAAAATTGCATTACTTACTGATTTACTTTGCTTACATTGTATGTAAAGCTTTACGGTTGACATTTTCCATCAAATTCTAAATCTTAATTTTCTTTATTAAAACATTTGAAATGTGAACATTAGGATACCGAAAAGCTCCGGAAATTGACAGATACTTATTCTGAACTTATCATAAGATGTGTACATATTCAGCCAATGATTGGCCTACTTCCAAAAGAAGATTTGTGGATTTGATTTTTACTCAACTGAAAAATACATGCATGTTGTCATTCATGCTTGTATGTCATATCTAAATATTTTTGTTATTTGTAGAAATGGGGATTTACAATCCGTAATAGTTCGTGTCTTTTTTTCAAACCTTTCATAGACGCACAATTATTTGAAGTTGACATTTTGTATGGACTCCTGTTTACTGTAGAAGTCTGTTTGTTGTCCTTTGTGCGTCTTTTGATGATTTCTGTCGTTACGTTACTGTCTTCTTGACGTATACCTCTCGTCTCTCTTTATTCCAACGTGAAGCTTTTCTTTAGGCAATCACTAGTTCTAATAAAGATTGGTAATGGTCAAGGTACTGTGAATAAGGCTATTTCACAGATTTTGTTAAACTTTGTATACAACTTTGGCTCGTTGAATTTTAACTCAAAATCGAAATAATAGACATTTATCGCTTTTATTTTCTGAAATATTACTGAATGAATTCTCTCAACATAGTTAACATTTGTATAAAAAGCACAGAAAGCACATACAGTCGTCGAAAAACTAGATTTTTCTTGATATCTAGATTTTTGTTTTGATGATGTAAATAACACAAAACGTAGGCCATAAAACGACTAGGTAAAATACTAGTTAGTTCACCAAAAACAAAGTCTTCAATTCCCGATTGCCATTGCAAAACAATGTATTTTGAAATCGTGTACTTCAGTTTTGAATCTATGTCACCTTTTGCACATGCTGAACTGAAAGCCGGTAATAGGTTGTGATCTGAAGATTTCCGGTTTAAGGTGTTTTTTTAAGTCGTTGGGTTGATATCTCATTGATGTAAACTCTACATCTATTTACGGAATGACTGTAATATTTTTTTCGTTTATGAAGAAATAACATAAAAAATGTGCTGCACACTGAATAACACGCGTAATGGGTAATTCTAAATTCCATGTTTAAGAAGTAAATCATGAAAAACGTTGATGACGTCACGATCGCATGACAAAGTTATGTCTATGAGCTGATAGACAAAAACCTTTCAGCCAATCAGTAGCCGTGTTACATCCAAAATTAAATTATTTTAATTATTTTTATTATTAAGCTATCTTCAACATGTAACTAGTTTAATAATAGACACATGGTGTAATATGCATTAAAATTATCCATCTATCTTACAGATAGCGAAGGTTGATATATATTACGATTTTCTATGTGACGAAATTGTATATTGTAAATAATGTTATCAGTTTGCATTGATTATATATATCAATATAAACCCCAAATATTGATACTTTCTTTCACAATTACTGTCATGGCAAGGATGCAGCTCAACTGTGTTTGTTTTATTTTGTTAAGTTTATTTTACCATTCAGAAGCAAATACATATGGAGAAATAAGGAACAACGCATATAAAATCATTGAACAATCTAAAAATCTGGATAAACACGCATTTAGGAAAATAGAACAAGAACTTAAAGATGTATTTGATATGGAGAAAATTTTAAGAACTGACAACAGAGAGAGTCTAAGCGTTGACAATCAGTTGACTGACAGCAAAAATCTACCAGCGCCACCTTTCAGCCTCCCAAAATTTCCTTCTCTAAACCTGACGAATCTTGTAAAGGAAGTATCAGTTCAGTGTATGTTAGACGGCCAAAAAATTCTAACCGGATTACAGCAATCTAAACCATGGGCATTGAGCAGTAAGTTTTGACTTAATATTCATGCAGAGACAGATTTTGTTATCAGTTGACATATAGTGAGGGTGATCGTTTTATCGAGTTTTCTGTTGGTTAATTTGTCAATATATTTTCTTGTACGAGAACACTGAAATATAAAAACTACAATAAGTCACCGTTTGACCCTCAGTAATGAGCAAAACCCAAATGGTAAAGTAAGATATAAAACAATTCAAAAGAGAAAACCTGCGGCCTGATTTAAGGTTATAACAATTAAATAAATATGGCAGGTGCTAACGACAACCACTGAATAAAGGCTCCTGATTTTGGGACAAAAACATACAGAATAATTGTGAGCATTCAATCCTCCCCGAACCTAGCTAGGACAGTGATGTAATAGCACAATACAAGAACAAACAATGAAAATCCGTTGTAAAAGATTTGACTCATCAGATCGACAAGACGCACAACAGAACTAAACCTACAATGTAACAAAAAATCAATTTGTTTGTTTCTAATTAGACAATAAAAAGTGAGACAAGACGAGAATCGAATCAATTGTTTATGGAATATCCGTTTCACAGATTACAACGGATATGTTCCAGTTGTCGTAACTACAGTCCCGTCCCTTTTCCCCAAATTTGACCTACCGAATTAGACCTAACACCGGATTTGTATTAACATGAGCTACGCGACGGGTGTACCCTTCCAGAGCACCTGAGGACCCCCCCCCCCCCCCAAAAAAAAAATCCTTTTTAGCCATGGCGTTGTCGGTTTATTATCGACTTAAGAGTTTGAATGTTACTTTGGTATCTTTAGCCTCTCTTTTTTTAACACTAAAAAATAAAAATGTCGGTCATTATCAGAACAATAAAAGACCAGGACAACCCCTTAAAAAATATTAACAAAAATACAGAAATCAAAAGTAAATTCAAAATCGGGGAAGTCCATAAAACCTCACAAAATCAAACGTTAGACTGTATCAACCAACATTACAGTCATATTCCTGACTTGGTACAGGTATAAAAGACCAGTACAAAACAAATCCTTAATACATCAGCATATGTAATCAACAGATATATCTCAAAAGTAAAGCGTTGGCTTCACAAACATACATATCGCTTTTCAAGCTTATTTGTATTTACAGTTACAAAATGCTGATTACATTTGTTAAACGTTTGTCCTGTGTGATATATTTGTTCACCTTGTTAGAGTTTATTAACATTTTGTCTAAATAAAGGAAAAAATATGGACGGACTGTCCATTACTGAAAATCGAAATTTAACCTTCAATGTTTTTCGTTAATTTTTGAGGTGGGGTTTCCCTAAATTTTTAATTTTGTAATTTTGTTTAATATGATTATTGTCAAACGCCATTTACATATTACAATGATAAAGCTATACAAAACAAGGATGAAAAGTGCGGTAACTTATTACTAGTATAAAAATTCAATGCGACACGTTATGAGGACACGACGGGTGCCACATGTGGAGCAGAATCTGCCTACCCTTCCGTAGCACCTCAGATCACCACTGTTTTTGTGACGTTATGGTTGCTCAGTCTTTAGTTTTCTATAATGTGTTTCGTGTACTGTTGTTTGTCCTTTATTCGTTTTTTCGTTTTTTGCCATAACATTGTTAGTGTGTTTTTGATGTATGAATTTGAATATCCTTTTGGTATATTTCGACTCTTTTTTATGAATATAAATTAAGACATGTTTAAAACGTAAATGGCGCTAACGACTCATTTTTTGTTTCTGTTAAGTGATTGATGCCATTGCAAAACCACCATCAGGAATATTGAATGGTGTGTTTACGTGGCTTGGAGATTATGACGAGTGTTTGGACATAAAGGCAGACTCTTTCCAAGGCAAATACTGCAGAGAACAGCTGTATCTTGCGCAATTTACCAACCCGGTAAGTAGGCATTGTTACTTACGAAATGTATTAATTTACAATCTGTCACTGAATGTGTCTTACTTATAGAACTCCCTAAATACAATGCTATAAGACATCTGTAAGATATCTAATATATTTCGTAATGTAAATAGTCAATGAACTTTCATTTAAACAATATGTTCTGAATCTAATTTCATTCTTGCTGGAATTGTAAAATAGTTTACTGATGTTTCATATCTTTTCGATTGGAAAGAGAAAAATCAGGTAACAAACAAAAACTTAGGGAATCTGCAAAAGGAGCGAGATTAGGTTTGTCGACAGGGTATACGTCTTCTGCTAAGCATGATTCATCCGCCATGTGAATTAACATTGAAATGCCACTGTCGGGAATAAGACACAAAACATTGCAATAACCTAACATAAAACATAAACATAACTATATTCCAGAACATAATGTTTGTAAATGTTAACATACATATAATGCTACTTATGATTTTAGCTGACAAGTAAAAAAGGGGCTAGTTTGAATGCAGGGATATGTGTCCCAAGTACCTGTTCCAGCGATGATATTCTAAATCTTCTGAAATCAGGTATGAAAGCACATTTGTAAAATTCTAAGAGAAATATCTTTAACAATGTCTATGATTTTCAATTACCTAATCGTCATAAAGACGTAAGATAGGTATTCCCGTGCGTACGAGACACGTGTCATAAAGACGTAAGATAGGTATTCCCGTGCGTACGAGACACTTGCCACAAAGATGTAAGATAGATATTCCCGTGCGTACGAGACACGTGTCATAAAGACGTAAGATAGGTACTCACGTGCGTACAAGACACTTGCCATAAAGACGTAAGATAGGTATTCCCGTGTGTACGAGACACGTGTTTCAGGGATTACCAAGCGAAAGATATAAAACGTTCAAGAAATAAAAACCAGCGTGGTATGAATTAAATAGCCGAAACTGTTTAAGGTAAAATGTGCCAAAGTTGGGAAACGTCAGTTTTATCATGGACCATAGAACTCGTATCTGTAGACGTTAAATATGATAACAGGCTGCAAATAAAAAAACAATCAGAAATTAATATGTATGGTTATACATTAATGGCACTTTTGGTTCTACATCCTGTCCATAAATATGTTTTGTCATAACACAAAGCTATGCTTTTCTACGACTATTTATGATGTTCGTATACTGAATTTATGGGGTATGTACTTATTGAAATTTGAGTCTGGGGAAACCATGGTTATTTATATGTCGAAATTAGCTATGAAGCAGTTTACCTTTTAAAGGTTTTTTTTACCTGGAAAAAATATCCTTCTTACTTCTTTGTAAATTAAAAACATTGCTTCTTTTATCTTTCCTTGGTTAGTGAAGTGGTATCAGATTATCAAATCTTCACGTTACGGACATGTGCTTCTCAATTAATGAAGGGTGCATGGTGCTTTCAGAATATCAAGTATGGATAATCAATAGAGCTGTTACTGCAAATCAAGAAAACGAGGCATTCAAATATCAAAAGTTGAGAAAACACCACCAAATAGAATAAAGAGCTGCGTCATGAGCGCATGATACGCCCGTCGCTTTTTCAACGAATAAAGTCCCATTACTCCTCAATGTCATATCAGAAATTTATAAAAAAAAAACTAAGGGACCTTATTTTAATACATATAAACCAGTCACCAAAGCTTCATGAAAATTGCTCAAAGCATTTTTGAGTTATTGACCGAAAACTGGAAAATCCCCCCTTTTTTATGAATAAAATCCCATAACTCGGAAACGTAAAATATACATTTTATAAAAAATCGAAAGGGAGCTTACGTCAATAGATATAAACAATTCACTTAAGTCTCATGAAAATTGGTTAAAGCTTTTTTTAGTTATTGTCTGACATGTTGACGAAAGACAGACAGACGGACGGACAGGTGGACAACGGTATACCATAATACGCCCCGTAAACGGGGGTATAAAAATGACAAAACGACAAACATTAGTTAGCAAAACACTTCATAAAAACATGAAGAAAACGACTAAGCAACACTAATCACCCCAAAACATGTGGGCATCTTAGGTACTCCGTTTATGCCGTATATCCGTTTATTAACTTTATCCCAGTACTTCTTTCATCCATTTCATCTAATATATAGTCCTGGTTCCTGAATTAGTATGTGAAATTACATTAGTAATAACATTAGCGGTACCAATTTTACTGCACTAGATGCGTATTTCGACAATTCATATCTCTTCAGTGATTCTTGAGACCAGAATATTGGAAAATCAAAAACTTTATACAAACTTGGAAGAGCTGATATTGATTGTGAATCCATAAGCTTCAATATAATTTGCTAAAACTAAATACCATTATACTAATTAAGGTGTACAATCTTTTTATTTCTGATGGACTTATTCAAAATTGTAGTATACATAGGAATTGACGAAAGACATTGTCGGCAATTTGTGCATATCACTTTTTTGATCCTACTACCTAACATTTTGTTAGAGTCAAAGACATGTCGTAATATTCGAAAAAAAGTATTAGGCAATGACGTCACGATAAAATGCATCATCATCACGTTCGCATGTCAATCCACGTCAATTTATGATATCAATGAAATGCACGCGCCCACATTCATTATGTTCTATCTAGAGAGCTCGCTTGCTATTCTTGTTGATAAATTCAGTATAAAAAAACAAAAATGCCATTTTACTATATTTCTCTGATAATTATAATTTGCAGTTGTCCCACAATTGTCAAACAACACAGTATTTCCCTATAGTGGAAGTTGTGAAGAAACAGATCCGAACTATGATACACGAGCCATTATTGTATTGTAAGTACGTGTAGATAGAAAGGCGTTACATAGAAATACGATATTATCTTGTAAAACATTGCACTAAAAAATGGGCAATACGAGAACTGTAGTTGGAAAGGGAAAAATGGGTAAGAGAAAATTGAGTGCAGGAAAAGTGTAGGATAGTGAGCAGAAGACCTAATGCTGCTTCGCATTTCCACCGGAAAACAGGAAATTAAACAATTCCAATTTCGTTTGAAGGTTGGATTGATTGATTGTTGGTTGCTTAACATTCAGTGGCAATTATTTCATGCATGTTCAGAACACATTATTAATAGATACAATATGTAAGTGATGTAATAGAGGCCGTCCGGGATGAAGGTCGGGGAAATTTGGACTGCCACTGGAAATTGAGGGTATATTGGATAGGGATTAAAAAAAAGTCTCTTACAAAAGATCACCTACGGACCCCTTAAAGAGTTGTTACAATGGTTCTTAATGTGCAAAAAGTAAAATAACAAAAATACCGAACTCCAAGGAAAATTCAAAACGGAAAGTCTCTTATCAAATGGCAAAATCAAAAGCTCAAAGACATCAAACGAATGGAAAACAACTGTCATATTCCTGACAAAGAGCGTGGTATTCTCTTTACACGAGGCACCGAATTTAATGTCCTCATTCTGCCCGGACGTGGCTGAGTACTTGTACGTCCCACACAGCCAAACAGACGATCCACTTCGGCAAGGGTTTTACTGCCGGTCGGAGGAAGACCAAGAGTGACCATATTTCTAGTCCCCGATCACTCTTTGACGGTTGTCCCAACTGAAGTAATTGAAAAAAAACCTCCCTCATCAATAACATTTAAGTCCGTCCAAGTTTACTATTTTTTAGAACAGAAAAAAAATGACGTGAAAGAAAGCCATTTTGTTTTTAAAATGATTATTGATTAGCATACTTGATTATAGATTATTGATTACAGACTCAGTTCTAAAAATAAATCTTTTCATCTTTTCAATACGACGGTAATATTTTTCCTTGGCAAAAAAATATTGAAATCCTCTCATTCATACTGAAATTTTTGCAATGAAAAACCTTTCCTAAAAATGTATGAGAAGCTGTTAGATTCCCGAACTGATAAATAGTTTATGTATTTGTACCTTTGATACAAAATATATCGGAACATTGTTAATTTTGCTCAAATTGATACAACCAACCCTTTCCAACAACAACAACAAGGATTTAAATGAAATATTCCCCGGACGATATTTTTCGAGGCATTTCAAGCTAACAATTTATCGAGACAAGTAAAAAAATAGGTATTCCATTACATACGTTTCATAATCACTTCTGGTCGACCTATTTGTAATTATGTCACAAAATGATAATTATATATATATCAGACCTTATTCATTTCTCGACAGTGAAGTTATAGTGATCTCTGTCGAAAGCTTTTGAATAGCAAAAACATATTAAATGTAAATATACCAAACACTATAAATTTCGTGGGTTCGAACCGCTTTTCTGGATGTACCTTAATCAGGAACGCTCAAATTTAAGCATTTGGAAGCCAGGAATCTGTAAAAAATGAAAACAACACGTTATAAATATCATTTGTCGGAAGCACTTTTCTGGATTTACCTTTATCAGGAACGCTTAAAGTCGAATATTTGAAAGGCTGTATAAGAACCGAAACAGTTGAAGAGCTATATGACCAAAAACGACCTAAAAAATAGCAAAATCCATCTAAAGTCAACTTTGCCTGTATATATGTAAACGTCATACTCATCCAATACATATATTCAGAAAAAGGAACACGATAACTCTTAATTGCAGCGAGTTTAAACACACCATGTCACCGTTGGTTACACATTTAAAGCGGAACTTGTTGTACCAGACACACGTTGTACTTCTATATTCCTTCTTCCACTTCAATTGAATAAAGGATAATATAATATGGCTTTGTTTTTCTTTTCTTTTTCTCAGAGTCATTCTTTCAAATTTTGCCATTGTTATAACGTTAGCCACAATATATGATGTTGTCGTACGGATGATGGAAAAACGGCAGAAAAAGAATCCAAAAGGTGGTATTATCAACATAGCTTACGTCTCTAGTGAAGACAAAGAAACGGGAGCTGATTATAAACCTAAAGTAGAAGAACCAGACGTATCTGTAGATGTTGGCCTAGATGCAAATGAAACATCTGTTTATAAACCAGGTACCTTTAGTTCAAAAGTATATTTTGTAGCGAGATATTATTTTATTTATCAACAAAGGAGCGATTTTGAAATGAAAAAAAAATTTTAAAATATTAAACACTAAATATGTTGATAAAAGCTAATTATATAATTTGAATACGTCTTACTTAATATTAAAGATATATTCATGAATAGAGATACTTCTTATAAATAAGAAGATGTGGTATGAGTGCCAATGAGACAACTATCCATTTTCCCAGTCACAATGTGTAAAAAGTAAACCATTATAGGTCAAAGTACGGCCTTCAACACTGAGTCTTGGCTCACACCGAACAGCAAGCTATAAAGGGCCCAAAAATACTGTGTTAACAATTCAAATAGGAAAACCAACGGTCTAATCTATATAAAAAACGAGAAACGAGAAACACTTATGAACCACACCAACAAATGACAACCACTGAACAATAGGCTCCTGACTTAGGACAGGTGTATAAAAATGCAGCGGGTTTAAACGTTTTAACAGGCGCCAACCTTCACCCTAACCTGAAACAGTGGTATAACATTACAACATAAAAAGACACACACTAAAATATCAATTGAAATGGCTTACCTCTTATTCATTTGTAACATACTACCATGGAAGGTGTCTTGTGTAACACATTGTATTTATATATATTCATTGTAGTATTTGAAAATCAAACCTTTATCATGTTTTTGCTTTAAGGTATTGTAGGGAAAGCGTGGCTTTCGTTTTCTGTGTATACAAATATTGAAAAAATTCTTGGAACTAAGCAAGGGGCTGGAACATTGACTGCTATCAATGGTATACGGTTTATCAGTATGTCTTGGGTCATCCTTGGACATACCTTTGCCTTTGGATTAGGTCAAATGGGTAAGTATGTCTTTTATCATTTTATCCATACTGAGTACGGGTGATTATAATCATGTTAATGGTTTTACGATACAAAGGGATAACAAACATTCCCCAATATATCAGACTTCATAAACCACACCACACGTTTGAATAATAGATTTTAAGTGTAGACATTCTGTGTGAAGTTGTTGATGGAAATCACAAATATTGCAAAAATGTTTGCCAGTGATTTTAATACATGTATTTGATTGAGTGGTTAGTGTTTAACGCCACATTCAGCACTTTTGGCTATTTTGTGGCGGTAGGATTTTATTAGTGAAAGAAGCCGGAGTGCTGGAAATAACCACCGACCTTTGGCAGGAAAACTGACAATCCTAGTCAGTTAAGATTGGAGTCGAATGCACCTACCATGTGCAGGATTCAAACTCCAAACCTCAGTGCTAGTGAAACATAGTTGGACTACTTAGACCATTCGGCCACCGAGGCCCCTTTAATTCATGTGTTTTTTGTTCGTCTTTCGATGATTATTTCTATGCAAAATACAAATATAATGACCGACAGTGGCTTACATCTATGTCATTTGGACTCTGGTGTTAAGTTGTCTAATCGGCAATCGCATTACATCTGGACTCTGGTGTTAAGTTATCTAATCGGCAATCGCATTACATCTGGACTCTGATGTTAAGTTGTGCAATTGGCAATTAAATTACATCTCCTGAGTTTAATTTGTATTCATACTTATTACCGTTTTTGTTCTCTGTTCTTAGCCTTCATAATAGAAATTTGCATGTGGTCATCTATCGTCGCATAATGATTGATTGATTGCTTATTGTTACACAGAAGTTTTAAACAAATAACTAATCATATTATCAATATAATACAGTACATGAATTGCTTTAAACATAAAGTTTTCAATATCAATTTTTTATTTATTTTTAATTGTTTTACAGACAATGCGGCTCAGGTATACACGACTTTCATTAAAAGGAAATCATTTATGGCCATTATCAACGCCGAAGTATCGGTTGATTCTTTCTTTGCCCTAAGGTAAGATTGATATGACATTCAAATAAAAACGAAGACAAAAATACTGCTTCGCCATCCATTCAATTTAGATCAGACTAATGTTAAAATTTGCAATTACATATGTTCTGATTAAATTTTTGAAAGGAAATTGTATGATAAAGCTTTTTTTTTAGTCTCTTAAATTTGAAAATCAAAAAGTGTCTTTTATATAGAATATCTACCAAATAAACTCAATCAGATATTGACAAGACTTTTATTAGTCTGTGGGATGTCAATATCTATATTTTTAAATTCCATCTAACATATTTGTGTTTGTGCTTCACATTTCTTTGCCTAGTTTTGTTATTCTGTCATTAACACTTCGATTTAAGCTTTAGCTTTTCTAAAAAGAGATTTAGTACAAGATGTATTTTTCAAAGAAGTGATTGTGTGTAAAATATCATTTTGTGTAAGGTCTTGGTTGATATTTATTTTTCCCAAACACTTTATTTTCGACTTATGAGTTTGACAGTCCCATTGGTATCTCCGTCTCTCTTACAATCCACCATCACCCATGACATTTTCATTGACACGTTTGATAATTACAAAAAAAATGTTTGAATTATGTATAAGTTATATCGTAAGTCCGGACGTCTCTTTTAAGTGTCCTATAATCTTGATATAGATGATAAAAAGTATTATTATATATTTTCAGTGGTACATTACTGGCCTATTTGATACTCCAACAATTACAGAAACAGAAAAGCGTCTTGAAGCTTAATTGGTTTATGTTCTACTTTCATCGGTTTTGGAGGTTGGTATGGTTAACATTTTAAAGAACACTTCATAAATATAACCTTGTCATTTCGCTTCACATTTAAAAATATCGACAAAGTCACCTCTACCCAAACGATTGAAAGATTTCTGGATCACATATTTGGTTAAAGATCTATACTCACTACTAAAGAACGAAAGAGGATTTCAAAAGTAATAATCTAGGAGAAATCCTACACTATAGTATAACAAGAAAGATGACCGAGACATAAAATTACAACATGAAGTAGTACCAAAAATTAAAGCGTGTTAGTGACGCCTCAGACAAAGATTTCTTTGAAATGACAACTACAACCAACTATTAAAGTGCTGTAAAGTTCAACATTTGGACTATTCTTTGTAAATTCTACATGTGTAGCGTTTTTAATGGAATGGTTTCAATTTTCTCTTTTGACCTGTTTATCGATAGAATTTTTATGAAGTCCATCAGAACTATTTCCAATATAACTCATATGTATTTCATATACATCATTTAACTACTAAGTCATCTAACAAATACATTACGTTACCCCGTGAATGTCTAGATTTTAAAGGGGAGCTAAGACAACAGATTAAGCTTGTCAAATATGCATATGACCTAAGTCAGTTACCTCGTTTGTGTATCTAAATGATTTTGTTATTTTAAAAAATATGGCAGATATTTGATAGTATCTGTTTAATTTTTCACAATTGTTTTTTTTTAGATTAAAAAAAAGGATATATTTAAAAACCAAACCTGAAATGTTTTATTCAAGTCCATAGTTAAAACATTTAAGAGACAGTTTGAAATACATATAATTGATTGGGCACTAAATAGTACCTTCTCCTTAGACTGGACTATGGAATTCTTACATCAACCACCAGATTAAGGATTACCAGTTCGAATTTAAAGAGAAACATATTCGTTGAAACAGTTGTTTTAAGGCTTTGTCTTTTTCTTATAAACTGGGCTCTTAGAACCACACACAAAATAGTTCTATATGTTAGTATATAAATATGCATATATCATTATACATACCCACGATCCAATCGAGAGGTAAGCTGGATTACCTCTGTCAATCCATCCTTGTGTATGTCCGTCTATCCGTAACACATTTCCATCGCATCTTTCCAGCAACTATCAGTCATAGCTGCCTGATATATGGCACCAACTGCTGTATGATTATGCCATACCGTGGGAGATATTTTCAATTATTTAGACTGTGTTGTGAAAACATACATTTTTATAAAAATAAGAAGATATGGTATGATTGCGAATGAGACAACTCTCCACAAGTGATCAAATGAAATAAAAATTAACCATTTTAGGTCACCGTACGGCCTTCAACAATGAGCAAAACCCATACTGCATAGTCAGCTATAAATTCCCCGAAATGACAAATGAAATACAATTAAAACGAGAAAACTAACCCGGAACAGTGGTGTTACAGTACAACATAAGTACAAACTACAAAAATCAGTTTAATCCATCATTTCTACATGAGGAAATGCCTGTAAAAAAAGTCTGGAATATGACAGTTGTTTGCCGTTTGCTTGTGTTTGAGCTTTTGATTTTGCCATTTAATAAAGGACTTTCCGTTTTGAATTTTCCATGGAGTTCGGTATTTTTGCTATTTCACTTTTTAAAAGGGCTTAACTCATCAGATCGATACAAAGCAGAAAAACATCTAACACAGATCGGACATGAAAGGGTATATTTCAATTCTTTATTTTTTATTTTCTAGGTTGACTCCACCATATATGCTTGTTTTGATGGTATTTACTGGACTTTATCCATATCTAGGAAGTGGTCCGTTTTGGAGTGACAGTAGAAAATCACCAGATAATTGTCACACAAACTGGTGGTATAACCTTTTGTACATCAACAACTTCAACAAAGAATCAAATGAGGTCAGTTAATCAGGCGAAAATAACGAAAACAATATTTTACTTTTTTTCAAAAAATAAAAGGTTTAGATATCAAACAAAACCTTTCACATCCAAGCAATCAATATATTGTCACAAATTATTCAAGCCATTATAATTTGCATATGGTATATATATATATATCTATTTGTGAAATATCTCCTTCAATACATTTGTCAAGTTAAACAATATATCCAGGCGAATACAAAAGAAAATGTTTCATTCTGATTACATTTATTAATTTTGTAAATGTTGAGTGAGTGAATTAAATTAGATTCCTATAAATCAACGACATTTTCTTCATTTTATCATATTTTTCAAGTTCATTTCTATAAGTGTCATGTTATCCTTTCCATGATATTTTTAAAGAAAATTTCGTGATGCTTTTTTCCTTTCATTATTCCTGATTAAATTCTTGTTATTATTGTCTATACAGTTAAGGCATTCAAGATAGTTTTTTTTCTTCTTTTTAGTGTTTTGGTTGGGCTTGGTATTTAGCAAATGACATGCAGTTTTTTGTAATCAGTCCAATTATCTTAATTCCTATGTATTAGTAAGTATAAATTGAAAAGAAATCCATGGCAATATGAATGTGATTACTATAAAACTATAGTTGTTTCTAACAACCAGCACTCAAATGTCGGGTATTGTCAATCTTGCAATATCTTATTTCATTTGTTGGAATAAATGATTGTGCTTAAAAAAATTAAATAAAAAAAAAAAGAAAACACACTTTACTAATTTCTGGTAAAACTTTTCTAAAAACAAAATGACATAGATCTAAAGATAATGGTGCAAGTTTGTTTCAGCTGAAAACTGCAAGCTAATTTATAACAAACTGGAACTCTAAATGGTTAAAATATAGAAAAATCCTGAATTGTTGGCTAGAAGAGTAATAGTTAACGTAATGGGTGAATTGTGAATTTGGTTAACAGAAATCATAGAAGAAGAAGAAAAACGAAAGATACCAGAGGGACATTCAAACTCATAAGTCGAAAATAAACTGACAACGTCATGGCTTAAAAAGAAAAAGACAAACAGACAAACAATAGTACACAAAACACAACATAGAAAACTAAAAACTGAGCAACATGAACCCCACCAAAAACTGGGAGTGATCACAGGTGCTCCAGAAGGGTAAGAAGATCATGCTCTACATGTGGCACCCGTAGAAGTATTCCATCTAGCATTGCGAGAATATATTAATGATAATACTAGTAATACAAATAAGCTTGAGAAGAAAGAACAAAATTAGACCGTTGGTTTTCCTGTTTGAATTGTTTTACACTAGTCATTTTAAGGCCCTGTATAGCTTGCAGTTAGGTATGAGCCAATGCTACGTGTTGAAGGCCGTACTTTGACCTATAATTGTTAAATTTCTATACATTGTGACTTGGAAGGAAAGTTGTCTCATTGGCACTCATACCACATCTTCTTATTTATAAAAACATAATATCTGTAATAGCTTAATTAATAATCGTCAGTTCATGTTTTAATTCACTTGTACAAATCATACACGATTCGTTGTTCCATTTCTCATCTGATGAATAATCATTTTAACATTTAAAAGCCATACTTATAGGCACACCCAGGGTTGTTTCTTACAAAATTGTAAAAGGAAATTTTTGAAAAAAGTAATACTGATAACTTTTGGTGGCAGTCCAAGTATGTCCAGGGTTTAATGGGAACATGAGAATGTGAAAACTATACACGAATGGGAGTTGTTTTGACTAGTATATTTTTTCTGCTGGTTGCTACAATTGTCAGGGAAAAAAGAGGTGAAGATCACAGACTGGATAAAACTTATAAGACAGAGGCAAAAGATACAAAAGGACATTCAAACTCATAAGTCGAAAATAAACTGACAACGCCATGTCAAATAAAAGAAGAAAAAAAAGACAAACAACAATTCACAAAACACAACAGATTGATATTTTTACTTTTCCGCAAGCGTTACCAACATTTATAGATTGGTATCATGAAAATATGTCAATTTTTGTTATCTATGACATTGATATTTGTACTCTTTATTTAGTTCTAAAATCGCAGGAACAGTTGTGACGGGTGTGATGTGGTTAGGATGTGCCATAGCAACAGGACTTGTGTCCAGACATTATGATCTTCAAACCAGTCAAAAAGGGTACGTTGAAGTTTATATGATTTACAAAACTAAATCTTATTGTGGAAGAGGAGAACCGGCATTGCATCATTTTTGTTTTAAAAATAAAAAGTTTGACAATTTAAATCTAGGAGTAACTGCGTGATACCATTAAGTTATCTATAAACATGACGTATGCCATTGTTCAGATATCATATATCTTTCATAAAAACGTATATTTTTACGCTTAACTGAAGTCGAACACAAGACACTTTGTATTATTAACACGTTTTTTTTAATCAAATATAAATTTATTTCAAAAAGGCTTATATATATATATATATATATATATATACATATATATAAACAGGTCTGAATTGAAAACAACGTTCAAACCTATGATTGCGTTGGATAAAAACCGCAATTTTTATACGTGTGCATGCAAAACAAATTTCAAAACAAAAAAATATATATATTTAGTGCATGTTTATAGTTAATATATTATATATGCATTATGTATACAGACCTCACAGTGCTGATTATTTCAACCAGTATTATCAACGACCCTACACTCGCATTGGACCATATTTAGTGGGTATGTTCTGTGGTTTCCTGCTGTACCAAACTAAGTGTAAATGTAAGATAAATAAGGTTAGTATATAGACAACGTCCGATCTGTGTTTTTGTTTAATGTTTTTCTGTTTTGTATCGATCTGATGAGTTAAGTCTTTTAACAGATTTTTGTTTGTTTATTCTTATGTTATGCTGTATAGCGAATATCCTAGGTTATGGGAGGGTTAGGCGCTCACAAACATATCTAACCCCGCCACTTTCGTTATGTGCCTTTCCCAAGTCAGGAGTGCCTGTCCCAAGTCAGGAGCCTGTAGTTCAGTGGTTGTCGTTTGTTCATGTTTGTACAGTATGGTTTTTCTAATTGTTGAAGACCGTATTTGTCTCATTGGCAATCATACCACATCTCCATATTTTTATATACTGTATATGAATTACAATCGATTTACTATTCGATTTACAATATTTGAAGATTGTTAAACTGCTGTCGTCTTAATCTATAAGGAACATATCATTCTAGTTATATTAATTTGTGATATATTTTTCGTCAATATGTTTTTTTTTCTCATCGTCCATCATAAGGCTAAATCACTATTGAGCTGTATCAATTTCATCGTACGGATTTGATATCATGCCCTGCGAAAAGAGTTGATCGGGACTGCGCCATAGGATTGCATCATAATATACCAATTATCTCAATGAAACGTTCAACTTTTGTTTTATGTTGCATGTAGAAATTCAAATGTTAAACTCGGTTTTGCGAATCGTTAAATATATCAGGAAATATGATTGCAAAGAAGGCAGCTTGAGATAACAATATCTAAAAAGAGCATATAATAGAACTCATTTTCTACATAAGGAAATGCCTGTACCAAGTCAGGACTATGACAGTTATTTTCCAGTCGTTTGATGTGTTTGAGCTTTTGATTTTGCCATTTGATAAGGGACTTTCCGTTTTGAATTTTCCTTGGAGTTCGGTATTTTTGTTATTTTACTTTTCTGCAGTTGTTTATTTTCATTTAACAATTCATTCAATTCAATTCAATATTTTATATACGTCTCACCTTATGCATATAATTACACAGTACAATTATAAAAGATACATTTTTTCCTACATAAGCCAATCTGTACAGATTAATGAGAGACTATAAGAACTAAAACAACATTTGTATACATTAATAAATACTAAATATGAATGTTAAAAATAAACAGCAAAACTATTTATTTATTATTTACAATATAAAACTTCTCGGGTTTTTTTTCAGAATAAAATAACAGGTTTTGGCACAAAATCTAATAATATCTTGATTCGAAATAAAAATATCATTTTCTGACATTCTGTAAAAGCATTGAAATGTTAATCAATTTTAAGAGATTCAGTAAAAAGAATTTGTCTAAGATCATTTTAAACAGGACAATGTAAAATAACATGATATTCATCTTCAACAGTATTAAAACAATTAAAGCAACATCTCACGGTTCTATTTCATCAAACAGTTTAATCGAAATGTGATCGAAAATTGATCAATGATTACACCATCCTGTAATCGAAAATAAAGCCGATTACATATTACAGTCGAGTATATGCAAAATTTGTAATCAATAACAATCGATTACGATTACAGATTATCTTTACAAAATATTCGTTTGATGTGTTTGAGCTTTAGATTTTGTCATTTCCTAAAGGACTTTCCATTTTGAATTTCCTTGGAGTTCGGTATTTTGTTATTTTGCTTTTTTCATTGTAAGCGGTAAGTGTTTCTTGGTTGCCATCCATATTTTATCTGAAATAAGCTACTGAAGACCCTTCCTCGATCAAATTAGACATGCTGCTGGCTATACAGAAATACAGAATTGGTAGACTGATCAATATTTTTTCACACAATATTTGTAAAGACTTTAAAGAACATTTAAGATTCCGATTTATAACGATCGCGATAACCAAAGACTCTTATTTCATTTCAAACGAAAATGACAATTGTTTAGGAATAAAATCAGTTACGGATATCAATATGTCCAGTTAGTATATCAACGACAATTTATCTTCTTCATTTACCCAATTCATCGCGTGTTTTGGGACAGTTGATTTCTCATTTTAGCGGTTGAACTATGAATAAAACCGTTAGTATTTCAGTTTCAAATTTAGTAATACGTTGAAAAAGACACGAAATACTAAGAATAATGTATATTTATTTCAAAATCGACAAAAGAAATACTTACCAGAAACATCGTCCGCCATCTTGTGATATACGTAACTGCAGTTAGGGATATCACATTAATTTTACCCCAGAAGATGTGGAGCATTGCCAAGTGGAACATTTAGATTTAAGTTCAAGTTATCATCATAATCTAAAATTCATTATGCTTTTGTAATTATCAAAAACTTTGCATTGAAAATTTATAATTATAGAGAATATATCATCTGGTTCGAGGACACAGTTATCGGCCTTTGATTTTCGTTGTCAAATATAGTCCCTACTGTGGACAGTGTAGAACTTGCAAATTTTTTTCATGCATTTTCCAAATTTATTTCTTTATTTTTTATGCATGAAATATTAAGTAGGGGGATACAGTTACATTTAAATCAAATTTAGGTGATGAATCTTTAGGTAAAGTAGTGATTTGGTCCAGTTGAAATAGGTCAAAAATTAGTATGTCTGAAGCTGTCAAACTGAATTATAGACTCACATAGCATAGAATTGTCCATGGTTTGAGTTAGAGCCAATAAACTTTTCTATAATTATTTGTCCCAAAGCTAGTACACTACACTGTACAAATCTTTTTGTGATAGAGCTGGTGCAATTTTTTTAATTTCAATTTATTGTCTAAAAGAAATACACTACGAAATAACTGTGTTCTTGGACCATCTCATTTAGCATACTTGTATTAGTCGCAATACCATCCTTATATCTTGACTAAGAAGTGGAAGTCATTTTATGATATCGACACTGATATAGAAAATGAAATGTATTAATCTATTGCAATACTTTCCGAGTTTATCATTTAATTAATCCAGTTTGTTATGAAGTAAAGATTCAAACGTTGTCGTATTTGGATGTGAAATAGGTACAGATGAAAAAAATCTTTTCTGATAATGTTTATAAGCATACTATGTACCACACATACCCTAAAATTGTATTTTCATTTTTTTTAATGAATCCTTAAATAAACCATTGTTTCATAAGGGACTATGTAATGATTAATGAACTAAATATTTGGCTTTGAGCGTTCCTGTGAAGCTACACTAAGAAAAGCTTTGGAAGCGTAACATTTTTAAAGTGTAATTTTCATTTTATTTTAAAACATAACTATGAATATAAAAAGGTATGTGTGTGTATAAGTTATTCAGACAACAACTTAATAACACTATAAAAACATGAAAAGACACCTAGTCAACAAGTGGTCTCCAATAAGAGAAAGGTGTCTCTAATATTCAATCAACTGTTAATCGTGTTGAGTCTGCACACACATAACGGTTTGATGCCTACTCTTTCGTCTACCGTATAAGGATAGTGTATTGTTTTATGTTTCAGTACCTTAACTTGGTACTATGGGCTGTTTTTACCGCAATTGCCAGTGCAGCACTATATGGTGTCTACAGGGACTATAATGGTCATCCGTTTTCAACTGATCTTGCAGCTACTTTCAACACTTTACACAGGACTGCATGGAGTCTCGGTGTTTGTTGGGTTATATTTGCATGCGCAACAGGAAATGGAGGTTTGTTATTCGACAATTAAGTATGGATTATAATAGGCTCTAAACTGTTTTGTTAAGAAGGGAATATTTGAAAATCAAAATAACACTTCAAGACAGAACAAAACTAGAATAGATAAATATTAACATATATTTTTTAGATATCCTCTAAAGTTTTAGTTTGAACAGAACACATTTACTAAAAGATTGACATCAAGTGGTAAGGAAAACACTGCATGGAAAACTTGGCATCGTCTTATTGAATGCCCATAGTACTGCGTACTCGTCATAATCGATAATAGGTTATAAGTCAAATCAATGTGAAATTAGGAAAAACATTAAGTAAAGTCGTCGTCGTGTTTTACCAGAATAAAAAGTATAAAGCAATAACAACAGTTTGTTCTTTCAAAGTAGAAGGAAATTCGACAATCACTGATATTTTAATGGAGATTGTACCTCATAAATATACAACAACAAAAAAATAAATTCCAGTTCGAAGTACGAAGAATATTGATGGATTTATAGACTTGATTGTTGGTTGATTTATTTCCAATACCAAATAAATCATGTACGAAAAATACATAACATATATGAATTACTTCTGTCATTTCTCATTTATTAAGGTAGTCGGGCGTACCAGGTCAGCTAATGAGTATCTGCTTGTGACTGTTAACATTTTCTCAGTATTGTAAAAATTAAGAAATTATTGAACGCCATACAGTATACCAAGCTGGTGTCCCTAAAGCTTTGGTCCGCAATTGTTCGCGTCTATATACAATTGATACAAATGTAAATAAAAATCATGTTTACTTAATTTCTTGTAGGTATAATTAACACCATTTTGTCATGGAAAGCGTTTGTACCTTTGGGGAAATTAACCTACTGTGCCTACTTGGTCCATCCTATTATAATTTTCTATTATTTTGGTTCGAGGAGGAAGCTTATTCATGTCGACACTCATGAAATTGTAAGTCATATTTTAACATCTTTTTTTTTCTGAATAACCTTACACAAAACAGCATCTAATGTGAAGAAGTATTTGCCTGAAATGCAGACAATGACATAAATTGTCTGTTTGTATAGCACGGCTAAAAAATTTGTCATAATTTGTAAGTTTCTACAAAATTAAATAATATGTGTTGATATTGCAACCACTATGTACGATTTCATAAACTTATAAGTCACTCGAAAACAAGATTGTCTTCAATGCAGTTTGTTATTGTCCACTGGCATTATCTCTACAGAGAAAGAACTTTCTTTGTTCTTTATACAATACCTTTGAATATACATAATTGGTTTTCATGCATAGAAGCACAATATATATGAGTTTTGCATATTAAATGGGAAAATTGTGTCGGACAATGAGCTGACTAAAAGTGTAAGCATATTATTAGTACTTATGGTCAGTCATCCTGTTGATACTGTTTATTTGTATTTTGGCAATACTTAATGTCATTCGTTTCTCATATTGTTTATTGTCTTTACAAATCATCTTTTGGAAGTTATTGATACTTTATTATGAGAGAACATGATTTATTTATCAGTTGTAATTGGCTTTGAACTAACTAACTGCTAGTATTCTTTTATCGGTGCTATCTGTCTATTACCTTAGCTGTATTTGGCAAAACTTTTAGGAATTTTTGGTCCTCTATGCTCTTCAACTTTGTACCTTATTTGGCCTTTTTAACTTTTTTTTATTCGAGCGTCACTGATGAGTCTTTTGTAGACGAAACGCGCGACTGGCGCAAATACAAAATTTCAATCCTGGTATCTATGATGAGTTTATTTGCTTCTGTGTCAGTTGGATGTTTTGTGCCTTGTACCGATCTAGTGAGGTAAGCCGTTTGCAACTGATTTTTACAGTATGTTTTTATGTTGTGTTGTTACACCATTGTCCTATTAGAGGGGAAGGATGAGCGCTCACAAACATATTAAACCCTGCCAAATTCTTTAGGAGCTTGTAATTCAGGGGTTGCCGTTGGTTCATGTCTGTCATATTTCATTTTCGTAAATTGTTTTGATATAAACTAGTTTTCTTGTTTGAATTGTTTCATATTTTTCATGTCGTGGCCTTTTTTAACTGACAATACGGTATGGAATTTTTCAAATTGTCGAAGGCCGTACGGTTGCCTTTAAATGCTTATACCACTTCATTTAAACCAAGGTGGATAGTTGGCAATCGTACCATCATATATCCTCATTTTTACATAATAATTAATGCCTAGCTTTTGTTGGAAAAATACTTGTCTTGTGTAATGCTGGTGGCCATTTTTCATACATAAAAAAATATTTTTATTTTTTAGTAAGTACACAAAAGTGTTAAGTGATATTATGATTTGTACACACAACACAGTATTGATATTATGTTTCACTCAGGCGTATGCTCCTTACACGAAAATTTACCCGGCATAATTAGGAGGAAGAACGACTGAAATCGATCGTACATAAGTTTTACGGTCACCATCACGAATTGTATGACCGATAAGATGTGTCTATGTATCAACTCACTAGAGATATGTTTTCGTAGTGTTAGATACCAGAATATTCGTCTATTCTGTAATTTTACCGAGTGTGTCCTATTCCCGATTATGGCATTTTTATTGAGTGTGGATTTGTATGGCGGGTGATGCATGCATGGAAGGAGACGATTACCCTGCCAACGCACCCGGTCTCGCTCCTGTTGAGGTTCATGCGATTCTCTAAGATTTATTTTTTTTTACTTTGGTTTGTTTTCTTAACCGATTTATGAGATTTGCACATCTTAAACCATTGTTGCCTATTGTTTTATAAGCCCCATATAATGAGGGAATTGTGTATTACTAAATGACATATTTTATCTCAACAGATATATGAATACCTTGGAAATCTTGTATTAGCATATGCCTGTGCTTTCGTTGCGTCTCTAGCGTTTGAAGCTCCTATGATGGGATTGGAAAAGGTTATATTCAGACGTGGTGAAAAAAAGTGAGACATCTGTGACGTTTATATATTTCAATACAGCTGTATATTGATTGTAAAAATAAAAATGGATTTTAATTTACATATTGGAAAACACTTTTGGTATTGTTTCCGTATGGTTTTGCAATAGGGACAGTTTTCCTTGTACTTGTTTCCCTGACTGGGTTGAAAATATTTTAAAAGTGGTCCTAATGTGAAATGAATTCAGGAGAATTCCATATCTTTTCAATATCGAAGAAATTATACATTTTATGTTGTTTCTACGCTACTCATCGTGATACTGTATTGCTAAATTTGTATTTGAATTCCATGTGTAAATTATAGTATAATATAATATTAGTGTCAAATTTTTACTCAACTGTTTTCAAGATCTTCCTTTTCGAAACTTTACAAGACGAGATTAAAGATACCACTTTATTTTCAATTCTCATTTGATAGTGTCTAACCCGGTTTTTTGGTTGGGTTCGTGTTGCTCAGTCTTTAGTTTGTTTTCGATGTTGTGTTTCTAGACTTGCTAATTGTCTTTTGGTCGTTGTTCGGTTATTGCAATGTCATTGTAAGTTGTATGTTTTCGACTAATGAGTTGACTATTCCTCTCTTTTCTAACACGATAAAAACGTCAAATGGCCTTCCGTTACCGTATATGTGACATCATGATAGTTTTGGCCATCCGTTTCGTGTCCCTTAGATTACATTACCGTTTGTGTGACGTCATGATAGTTTTGGACATCCGTTTCGTATCACTTACATTACGTTACCGTATGTGTGATATCAGGATAGTTTTGGGCGTACGTTTTGTATCAATTATATAACGTTACCGTATATGTGACATCATGATAGTTTTGGCCTGACGTTTCGTATCCCTTACATAACGTTACCATTTATGTGACATCATGATAGTTTTGGCCATCCGTTTCGTATCCCTTACATTACATTACCATATGTGTGATATCATGATAGTTTTGGCCGTCCGTTTCGTATCCCTTACATTACGTTACCATATGTTTGATATCAGGATAAATTTGGCCTTCCGTCCACCCATTTCGTATCAATTACATTACGTTACCGTATGTATGACATCACGATAGTTTTTTGCCTTTCGTTTCATATCCCTTACATTACGTTACCGTATATATGACATCATGATAGTTTTGGCCATGCGTTTCGTATCCCTAACATTACGTTACCGTATATGTGACAACATGATAGTTTTGGCCATCCGTTTCGTATCCCAAATATTACGTTACTTTATATGTGACGTCATGATAGTTTTTGCTTTCCGTTCCGTATCCCTTTCATTACATCACCATATGTTTGATATCAGAATTTTGGCCTTCAATTTCGTATCCTTTTCATTACGTTACCGTGTATGTGACATCATGATAGTTTTAGCCGTCTGTTTCGTATCCCTTACATTGTGTTACCGAACATATGACATCAGGATAATTTTGACCGTCCGTTTCGTATCCCTTAGATTACATTACCATATATGTGAGGGCATGATAGTTTTGACCTTCTGTTTCGTATCCCATACATTACATTACCGTATATGTTACATCAGGATAGTGTTGGCCTTCCGTTTCGTATCCCATACATTACATTACCGTATATAAGACGTCATGATAGTTTTGGCCTTCCGTTTCGTATCCCTTACATTACGTTACCGTATGTGTGATATGATGATATTTTTTATCTTTCGTTCGTATCCCTTACATTACGTTACCGTATATGTGACAGTATGATAGTTTTGGCCTTCCGTTTAGTATCCCTTACATTATCTTACCGTATATGTGACGTCATGATAGTTTTGGTCTTCCGTTTCGTATCCTTTACATTACGTTACCGTATATGTGACAGCATGATAGTTTTGGCCTTCTGTTTAGTATCCCTTACTATACACCTATTGACTGGGTGTGAGGGTAATAGCAAGTTTGTTGTCCCTGAGATACCAACTATTGCTCGAGGCAAAGCCGAGGGTAATAGTTGGTATGCGAAGGGACAACAAACTTGCTATTACCCGCACAACCATTCATTAGGTGTTTTATTATACTGAACAACACAATCATTAAGTGTTTATTATACTAAGCTAACTAACTTTCTAAAAGTGTACACATATCATCTGAAAGAAAAGAAAAATGTCACATAACTTGACATGCACAAGATGAACGATACGTTTGTTTTTATAGTCTGTGTTGTATTTGTAAATATTTCATTAATTGCAATCAAGACTCGAAATACTTGTGTTAAACTTTCCGTGCAAATAATAAATTCTAGCTAAAGTACACCAAACGCAAATACAGGTCTTGAAGACGACGGCAAACCCATATTATAAATTAAGTACTATATTTTAGATCTTTAAAAAATATGTCGCAAAGATTTTCTTTCTCTTTTATAATTGCGTCTTGTAAGTGAAATTACGATCGACACATGTATTATACCGTTAACGATATTAGAGTTTGACGTTGCCAAGCACACAAAATCCAAGCAGAATGGTTAATGACGTCATTATTGTCCAATGAAAAATAAGCATGAAAAAGTACGGGAAATATGATTATAAAACTATTAACCGGGGTAATAGTCTTTGAAACTATTGACTGGCAAATAGTCTGTGGAATGAAATAGCACAATTATTTCATTATTTTTTATATAGAAAAAACATAGTGAGGTATAATAAAATATGTTACCGTATATGTGACGTCATGATAGTTTTGGCCTTCCGTTTAGTATCCTTTACATTATGTTACAGTTTATGTGACAGCATGATAGTTTTGGCCCTCCGTTTAGTATCCCTTACATTATCTTACCGTATATGTGACAGCATGATAGTTTTGGCCTTCTGTTTAGTATCCCTAACATTACGTTATCGTAGCAAGTTGTACCGTTTTGCTACGTCCAATAAACATTTTGGTTGAAACTTCTTAAGCACTTAGATAAAAAAAAACCAAAGACAAAAGAGTGATCAAATTACAAATACGAATGGGTTGTTTAACTTGAAAAGGAACTACATTCAAAATAAGGTCAACTATAACCGAGATCTTTGTGTTTCTAGTTTTTGTAAATTTGCCTATTTTATCTGAAGTGATAAACAAACATAATAAATCATTACAAAATGAAACATAGACGACTTGACAAATGAAGCCCATACAAAAAACACAGGTAAATGTTCCGTTTTGACAGTGGTAAACTGAGCTGTAGATAGCCCTAGTAAATGTTCCGTTTTGACTGTGGTAAACTGAGCTGTAAAAAGCCCTAGTAAATATTCCGTTTTGACTGTGGTAAACTGAGCTGTTGAAAGCCCTAGTAAATGTTCCGTTTTGACTGTGGTAAACTGAGCTGTAGAAAACCCTAGTAAATGTTCCGTTTTGACTGTGGTAAACTAAGCTGTAGAAAGCCCTAGTAAATATTCCGTTTTGACTGTAGTAAACTGAGCTGTAGAAAGCCTTAGTAAATGTTCCGTTTTGACTGTGGTAAACTGAGCTGTAGAAAATCCTAATAAATGTTCCGTTTTGACTGTGGTAAACTGAGCTGTAGAAAGTCCTAGTAAATATTCCGTTTTGACTGTGGTAAACTGAGCTGTAGAAACCCCTAGTAAATGATCCATTTTGACTGTAGTAAACTGAGCTGTAGAAAGTCCTATTAAATGTTCCGTTTTGACTGTGGTACTCTGAGCTGTAGAAAACCCTAGCAAATATTCCGTTTTGACTGTTGTAAACTGAGCTGTAGAAAACCCTAGTAAATGTTCCGTTTTGACTGCTTTGATTGGAATTTTGGATTTACTTTCGCAGAAATGCTGAGGGAAAATCGATGGGGCAGCCAAAATCTTTAAAAGAAATAAAATGACATAAGAAAACACATTTCCTCATGTATCTGTTTTTACATGAAAGTTATTCTTGATGTGAGTTACAGGTTAACACTAAGAGATTGTTTGCAGCAACCGGTTGCCTCTTACAAAAATGTTTATATTGGTTTTTTTTTTATCATATTAGGCTGTTACTTAATTTCAATTTTAATAAAATTTGACCTACTAAGTAACTAACTAGGTTCTTGCTAGAGCGCTTACAATGTTAATTTGCCAATTTTCTATTATTAAGGTGGTACCCAACACCTTGACTAATATTAATTTGGCTCGTTTAATTTTCATAAAATTTTGACAAAATGTTTACTTTGACCCTTTGACAAAAATATAAAAATTTCAAAAAATTTGAACCAACCACTTTATCAGAAAAATTTCAGTGGTTATATAGCAGTTTGACAAACACTAATTTTGATCATTGAGAAGCCTAATATTTCCTTAACAATACAACGTAATTAAAACGTTTAGCTGATTTTTACAGAGTTATCTCCCTGTAGTGTTAGGTACCACCTTAAGGGACGTTACGTAATAAAAATTACTAGCATTGATGATTATCGACCTGATTTCATACTTACTCTAACGTTATGGATATCCGTTTCACAGATGATAGCGGACACGTTCCAAATGTCGTAACTACAATCCCGTCCCATTTTCCCCGAATTTGACCTACCAATTTATACTTATTACAGGGTTTGTACTAACATGAGCAACACTTCCAGAGCACCTGAGATCACCCCCAGATTTTGGTGGGGTTCGTGTCGCTCAGTCTTTAGTTTTCTATGTTGTGTTTTGTGTACTTTTGTTTGTCTGATAGTCTTTTTCTTTTTTAGCCATGGCGTTGCCAGTTTATTTTCCACTTGTGAGTTTGAATGTCCCTCTGGTATCTTTCGTCTCTCTTTTACAACAGTACCCGATACCAGTAAGTTTGTAAAAACACTTTCAAAACCATTTTATTTAACAATCATTGTCCCTTTCTAATATAGAAGTAAAAATAAAAAAAAATCCACGTGTGTATCATTGTCATATTTTATTAATTTCGAGAAACAAAAATTTGAGTTTTGTAGGGAAACATTTGTCTATGTACAACCAATCTGAATAAATATAACGACATTTTTTTTTTAAATGTAAATCATATGAAGTTTCTCAGAAAGATTAAGTAGTTACACGTTCTTTTATGAACTTTTTTCTTCCACTGATCGAGATCAAAACCAGTCAATGATTATCGTATAAAAATTAGCAATTAATAACAAAATCATCCCAGTGAAATCTTTCTAAACCAAAACTTCCTGGACTAAAGATTTTGTTTGAATAAGGCGGTGCATTATATTTGCGAGCATTAACATTACATTTGCGCCCATTACTATTACATTTGTGAGTAAAAATCACGCTTTTGATAAATTTGCGCGCATTCATTTTACAGATATATTTAGATAAACACAGATGAGTTATAC